AGGGAAACTAACAGAAGATAACTGGAAACTGACAGCCATTAAATATGGAACGTGAAACTAGAACAGTCTACTCCAGTGAGCGAAATAAAGGGTTCAGTTCGACATTCCAACCAACTGAAGAAGGCCGGAACGTACAACGGCCGAATCGTTGTAATAAATATGGTGACAAAGATGAAGACAATAGTCCGAATAATGTAAATAATTTACGTAATACCTCATCTCAGAAATATGGGCAGATATAGAATAAAAAGGATGTATTTCTGCCACATGTACATTACTTAGTTACACAAGTTCCGACATTTAAAACTAAAATCATCTATGCTACGTCTACAGGGTCAATTCATCATCATTTCCCTGGTATTAGATGGTGTAAGAGGAAATTACATTTAGACAGCTTCTCCCCAACAATGGCTCACTGAAACAGAATTGCCATAATTTGCTTCTGCTATATATTTAGAGATTCTTTATAAAATCAAATGAAGCCGGCATAAAGGCTTAAGTCACATTCCTCCCGTAGCTTCCCCTTTTCTTTTCTATAAATACGTTTTTGATATTTTTTCTGGTGAGCTATCCTGTTTGGTACTTCGATTTTACGAATGAAAGCCCCGCACTAAATAGGTCTCATCGTTTTACAGTTGAAATGACAAGATAAACAGTAAGCTCTATGCAAACAATTTCAACTCGTGTATTACTCATTTGGGGTAGGCACTTTGAGTTACTTGCTTTCCAGTCAACTTTGCATCTTTAATCTTCAAAAATGTTAAATGCAATATGAATCTTTATATTTTGTATTCTTAATTCTACTTCTTTTATTGTTCTCGATTAATAATATTTTTACTCTCAGCCTTTTACGATTGGATCTTTATTGCCTTCATTGGTGCATTGATTTTAAAAATTCTTTTTGATCACTTTTAGTTTAATCATTTCGTTAAGTAAATACGATACGTCTATTTATTAACCCTCTATATTGCCCAGGAAGGCAGTCCATCTTGGGGAAGAGAAAACCTGATGAAAAAAAAAGAAAAAAAAAAAAAGAAAAATATTCCGCTGCCTTGTAGTCATATATAAAACACGGAAAAGATTATGAAAAAATAAATCCATACAGAAATCTCGAAGTAGAGCTACAAAGGCAGTTGGCTGTCAACTCTTTCAGTCAAGTCATCGCCAAATATAATGCCGCGTATTCTTTGTGATTTCGTCGACACGGCATGCGGGTGGGCAGTGGCTGTAGTCTAGACTGAGTAAGTCGTCCGTATAGGATCGTCAGTCTAGGAGAAAGAAAACTTTGACTTCAAGACACCTGCTGCCTTTTATGTCATGCCTCTTTAACGTGATAAACTCAACTTCCTCAGTGCAAAAGAAACCGAAAAATCATTGCAAATTCTCTGCTTTGAATGTCACCATAAACCACAATTGAGCAGTGGTGACCAAGCGATGCAAATTGCGCTAAATAAAAATGAGATGAAATGAATTGGGTCTTGTATTTAGTGAACTGCTATGCAAAACAATCTGCAAAACATCTCGAAGTAAGACTTAAAGATAAATATCAGTATGTAAATAGGTAATCAATAATAAAAAAAAATCTTCGCAAATTACAAAATGTATAGCAAAGGGCAAATATTGACTCAAATATTTTTCTTGTGAAAGGGATTTTCGTATTATTATAATAGGACTTTCTCATCATTAAAATACATTCTCATCCTTATAATAAAACGTTTTCATTATTATAATACGACGTTTTTGTCCTTATAATAGGACGTTCTCATTACTATAATAATACGTTTATTTCATTATAATATGTTCTCATCCTTATAATAAAACGTTCTCATTATTATAATAGGACGTTCTCATTATTATAATAGGATGTTCTCATTATTATAATAGGATATTTTCATCCTTATAATAAAACATTTTCATTATTATAATAGATTTCGCACCGTTGCGATTGGCTGTTGGGATCCCGATAGGGCGGGGGGAGAATGAGATCTAAATTAGGACGGATCGACCGGAGACGAACCAAGCCTCACACCCACTGACAATGATTATGACTTGCCCATGCGGGAAAAAATGCAAGAATAAATGCGGCCTAAAAATCCATCAAGCCAAAATGAAATGTCAGTTGGAAACTAGTCAGTTGCAGCGCACAGGAAATTCTCCTGATGAGACGCAGGAAATACAGAGCCGGGAAGCTCACCACAGAGCCCAGTTCTTCCAAGGAGAGGCACAAGTATCCCCAGAGTTACCATCAGAGATATTTCGGAAAAAGATCAAATGGCCTGCGGCCGTAGATAAAAAATCTTGGCACGACTTCGATTTAGACATCAGCGAAATACTAAAGACAATTTCAAAAGGCTCGGTGGATACCCATTTAAGTACTATGTCGAAAACCATAGTTAGCTACGCTTCAGAGCGTTTCGGATACGAGGAAAGGAAGACGAAAGAAAAATCTTCATAAAATCGAAGGGAAAGTAAAATCAAATAATGCAGGGGTAAAAACGGAAAACATAATTACCTTGTAATCATCCGATGAAGGGGTGTTCAATGAAAAAGGAAAAAAAGAAAAAAATCTCTCGTAAACGGCTTAAATAGATTTCGTACCGTTGCGATTGGCTGTTGGTCAATCTCCATTTAAATGTGTGATAACGGGGTATATTTATAGAAGTTAGTGTCTACAAGCATTTTTTAGAGGGCGTTTCAGAGTCGGATCAGCTCTGAGGGGGTCGATTTGGTGAGGTCAGTATGATGTTTGAAAGACCCGAAACTGCCCAATGATCCATCTCCAGAACATCACTGACGACGCTCTCTAGCGCTAAAAGAGCGTATATTCAAAGCAGGACATTCTCATCCTTAAAAAAAGGATGTTGTCATTATTATAATAATACGGCTTCTTCATTATAATACGACGTTCTCATCATTATAATAAAACACTCTAATTATAATAATAGAATGTTTTCATCCATATAATTGGATGTTCTAATTATTATAATAGAGCATTTTCATTATTAAAATAAGACTTTCTCATTCTTATAATAGGACGTTTTCATTATTATAATACGACATTTTCATTATAATAATGGGACGTTCTCATCATTATAATAGGAAGTTCTTCCTCATAACATCGGAATTCGTGTTTACTATAATATCTTGCATATATACCTTAAAATGTTTAAAGAAAAAATTAATATGAAAACGTTCAATCAGGTATTACTTAAATAAAAACGTGCATACCAGGTGTATCAGCAAACTTGTCCAATGGTTAAAGTAAGCTCTGAACCATTGTATCTTCGAAATGATTAAAGATATCTTTCTTGAATTATCCTACGTTTTTCTAAAAAAAAATATTGGATTCTACTTTGAACAATAATTATGTATTTATCTCAAAGTTGAAATAATGATCTATTGTTGCTGTTGTGACATTCTCTTCCACTTTACTGCTCCCTCTCTTTTAAACTCATTCACTGTTTCTCTTAATGGTTCTTGAATGGACTTTGAAGATGGAAGCCAGAGTACGAATAGTCGTACCATCCCTGAAGACCTAAAATTACTCTCCAAACTTAACCGAATAATCGTGATGAAATCGGTCATAAACGAAAATGACATTTTTATCAGTAATTAATCGAAGTCATGTTAAGTTACTTTATTGATACACTCACTGCAGATTTTTATACCGGTTCTATTCATCAATTTCAAAGAAGTGAGAAATGTTCCTCTTATCTTTTGTCCTGCGTATGACAATAAATTAAGTCCGGAATGTTACAAGATATGTTTTAGCTATAAACATTTAAATACATTAACATATACAAATATACTATCCAATTACATAATTAGCAAATTGAAAAACGAAACTTATGAAATACTTTGATCTTATGCCATTATTGTGTAAATGGTAAAATCGTGTTTTCGTTTCGGGGTGAGGTTTTTCAAAATTTAAAATAAATAAAGACTCTTTCGTTACTTTTGAACAAAAATTAATTGAATTAAGACCCAGGAACATATGATTAAAAAAAAATGTCACAACCCTAATATATATATATATATATATATATATATATATATATATATATATATATATATATATATATATGTAATAACCGCCAAAATAGTCTACCCGTAATGTACCACTGACCCGTATATATAAATAGCCGAGAAAAATAACAATACTTGTGATCTGACTATTGTGTGTAGTATGAAACATACTGTCGCCTGTAAGTTTTGACTTCTGTTCACTTTTATATTTACACACGCTCTATTTCTGATATTGAGCACGTTATCCCATAAATATAGCACACCTTAAGACTATATATATATATATATATATATATATATATATATATATATATATATATATATATATTATATATTTTATACATTATTTTTGGTGCTGAATACAGTGTATCTTTATCTTAGTAAAAGTCTAAAACTTTTTTATGCAGCCAGGGAATACTCATTCACAGCGATGTCTATTTAGCCAAATCTTCATTTCTACATCTTTGGTACTCGAGGAAATTGAAACTTAAAAAAGTACTTATATCCTGCCAATTGCGGTTTCCAATCTCGTCCGTGTTAAGTTTAGTGAATATAATTGCACAGATCTCTTGAAGCATCCTACATTGAGCTTTCAAATTTACTTCAGGTATTTAATCAACAAGTAAACCCTGTACTTACTGGGTCCAGGAACGGGAAAAAAATATTCTCGATCTAGCCAAGTGTTCAGAAACAGATGACGGTGGCGAAGAGACAGGCAAGTCAATTGGGACAAATCGGATTATCTGCTGACTGACTTTTCGTTTGGCGCAAATTAGATTCTTAAATTGCAAACCGCTTGTCAATTCTACGAGATGCAAATTGGACAAAACTTTCTTCACTTTCTTTTAACTACGTAACACTTTCGAATTTTACTGGATTATTTTTGTTATATTTTTCTGTAGTTGATTCATATGATTTTTTAAAAATTAATATTTTTTTTCAAATATTTTATATATTGTCTTCTTTTTCATTTAATGCATTCCCTTTCAATCTTTCATTTTTCTCATTACGTTCTTTTTCATTATGTCTTTCATCTATTTCTATTCTTCTTTATTTATTTCTGTCATTCATTTATTCTCATTTTGTTCTCGTTCATTTTTTCTCATTCAGTTATTCGTCAACTTCTTTTCTTCTTTCTTTATTTTTGTCATTCTATCATTCTCGTTTTTCTCGTTCGTCTTTACCATTCTGTTTTTCGAATCTTTCTTTTCGTCTTTCTTTATTTCTGTCATTCATTTGTTCTCATTTTTCTCGTTCGTCTTTCCCATTTTGTTATTCGTCTATTTCTTTTCTTCTTTCTTTATTTCTGTCATTCATTTATTCTAATTTTTCTCGTTTGTTTTTCCCATTCTGTTATTCGTCTATTTCTTTTCTTCTTTCTTTATTTCTGTCATTCATTTATTCTAATTTTTCTCGTTCGTTTTTCCTATTCTGTTATTCGTCTATTTCTTTTCTTCTTTCTTTATTTCTGTCATTCATTTATTCTCATTTTTCTCGTTCGTTTTTCCCATTCTGTTATTCGTCTATTTCTTTTCTTCTTTAATTATTTTTGTCATTCATTTATTCTCATTTTTCTCGTTCGGTTTTTACACATTATGTTATACATATATTTCCCTTCTTCTTTGTATATTTCCCTCATTTTTTTATTCTCATTTCATGTAGTTCGTTTTCCCCATTTTTTGTCTTTTTTCTACTTGACACGTTGTTTCCTTCGTCCTGATTTTTTCTCTTTATTTGATATCATATTTTCCTCATATTTCATGCATTTTATTATTTTTCATAATGCTTTTGAGAATCTTCATTATCTTTCATATTTCTTATCCCATTTTTTTCCCGCTGCGTTGTTAGCATTTTTTTTATTTTCCTGCTGTTTTCTATCGTCACATAAATATTTTTCTTTCATTCCCTCTTCATTCTTAAATTTCAATTCATAATTTCTCATATTTTCTATCTTAAGCCTTGTATTATTGTCTATTATTATACACTACAAAACACATATTTATTCATGTGTTTAGCTATAGGTTTTGTTTTATTCCTCATAAATGTTCCTTATCTTCTGTGCTTTTCTCTGTTTAGATTTATGTTTTCTTCTGCTGTTTATTTTTCTTTATCTTCTGCTACTCGATGCGTTTACTTTTCTTCTATCTGATGTCATTTACTCCGTTTAGTTTCGTGTTTATCCTCTGTCACTTTGCCGTTTAGGTTATTCATTATTTCCTACCATTTTGTCGTTTAGGTAATGCTTTATCTTCTGTCATTTTAGTCTTTTATTTTATCCTCAGTCATTTTGCTATTTAGTGTTTTCTTCATCTTCTGTCAATTTGACGTTTACTTTATTCTTTATCTTTTGTCGCTTTCCCGTTTAGTATATTATAGGATACAAATCCTATATCATTCCAACAAGTGAATAAAAAACACAAAGTAGATTTGCACACGCGCAAAATCGGATCAAAACGATTAAAAGCAGATTTCGCAATAAGATGTGAAATTAATTTTCTGACCAATGAAAGGAGGCGATTTGCTAAACCAAAAAAAAAAAAGGTAACGAGCCAGTGAGAAAAAAAAGTCAACAATAAATACAGAGTTTCAAGTCCGTCGCTAGTCAGAAGGGCGCAAAGATCACAGAAGATTGACAGTAAATTCCATCGCTGACTCAACCCGACACAAAGAGCCGAAAGTAGATTAGGAAAGGATAACAACAACAACAAATTTACAACTGACTCCAAAACAATTTATAAGTACATTTTCCTTTTATCTTTATTCCTCATTCACACTCTCTTTTTCAACTTAAATTGCTCGCCCCTTTTTCATTTGCAACTATACAAAAACAAAAGAAACACATTACTCTGCTAATCTGTTGAAAGACAGCGAACACAGACATTTTTGTAAAAATCACAATTTTGCTTAAACAAACTAAAACATTAGTCTTTTTTTACCCTATTCACAAGATAATAAATATACAATGTTCTATTTTCTATAAACGTTCCTTATCATGTTGTTCATTCTTGAAATTTGCGTTGTATTTTTTGGGCAGGGTATCCCGTATTAAATTCTTTAATCCGGGTACGCTGAACCCCACAATATTCTTTTATATCAAGTCATCATATTTTATCCATTATCTTTTATGACTTTCCCGTAACATTATTCGTTATTCTCAGACACTTTGCCGTTTAGTTTATTCCTTATCACCTTCCCACTGTTTAGTTTATTTTGTTATCTTCAGCGCTTTGCCGTTTATTTTATTCGCTATTTTAGTGTCACTTTGCCGTTTAATCCATTCTCTGTCTCCTCTCATTTTGCTGTTTAGTTTCTTCTTTATCTTAAGTCATTTTTTGTTTGGTTTATTGTTCATCATCAGTCACTTTGCCATTCATTTTATTCTATATCTTATGTCATTTTCTCCATTTAGTTTTTACTTGTCTCCTGATATTTTGCCGTTAAATTAATTCTATAACTCTTTCTCATTCATTGACAACGGTGTTAAGCGTAACATGAAAGCTATTCTAGAACAAGGACAACACTGAATTCAGAACTTTAGAGAAAGCGTTGGGAAAGCACTACAAGGTATTTCAGTTCAATTATATTGAATATAATGCTTGTAACACCAAGATCACTCACATTTTAATGCACATTGAACATAAAGACAAGGATGGCGATGCAATCACTTTTCATCATTTTATAACATTTACTTTACATGTTTCTAGGATGTATAAACAAAATTGAACCTGAAGAGACAAAGTGGAAAATCTATAAGCGATATATTCTCCAAAAGTGTATGTTTTCTCTGGCTTCCTTAGGTTAGAATGAAAGAAATACAAAACTCTATTGAAGGAAAACTTGTTGGGATCTCTGAGGAAAAGTGAAGGCTATAAATAAAATCTCCTCCTCACATTTATGGTCATTGTGTCTGTTGTATTTTAAATAGAGCAATTTTTATGCATCTTCTCGTATATACGTTTGTCTGCATACACACCCTACAATGCATATTGATATATTAGACCCTATTCATATTTGTATGTATATTTTTAGAGACATGTAAATATACACATGATCCCGGATATAGAAATGAGTATACATATATACACCCATTTACACACATATACATAATGCAGAAGACTTTGTTCATGTATACTCGTACACATATATAGACACACATGCACACATTTTTATAGATTTACCCGTACATACATATACATATATATATAGCCCCCTCTCACGCACGCACGCACACACATATGTAGATGTATCTATGTTTATATATGTATCGATATATTTATGTTTATATATATATATATATATATATATATATATATATATATATATATATATATATATATATAAAGCCATCATTTTTCATAGTTTGTTGTCTGTTATGTTACGTGGGGATTTCTGCTTTGCTTACTGGCTTAAATATATATATATATATCTATATATATATATATATATATATATATATATATATATATATATATATATATATATATATATTAAAGCAGTTGTTGTCGTTTATAGATTTTCCACTTTGTACGATGATCTTATAACGAATGTATTTTTTTTTTACTTATAAGCAACCTTTTAATATATTTTTTATTATATTATACTGCAGAAACTTGGTCGAATGGAATGCGTGTATCTAAAATTAGTTTATTATCTCTTCTAAGCGGCGAAGTTTATACTGCATGTCAAGCTTTAATTGGGAAATCCTGCAGAGAGGGGATTTGCCTTCCTAATAAGATTTTGCTTGACAAGCAAACTCTACAATTTCGGCATCTGCAACAGTCTTCTACCAGCAAAATAAACGTGTAATGTTCGCATCGAATTGTTACAGGAGATTAAAATTCTGTTCTACAACAGTAGACGAAAAAGATGGTGATTATCAGAAAATGAATAACCAGTGTATACAGTAGTTCTTGCTTTTCTGTGAAATATGAAAGGTGATGTCAATTATGAGGTATTGAAACTGCACATGTTTATTGTCATCAAATTTGTCGGACAAACAAAGCATCATCTTTCCAACAGCTTAACATAAATAAGTTTGTTAGAATGTGAAATACCTCCACATCTTATTTATTCGCCAGATTGAGCATTTTCCGCTGAATCATTTCCCCAACCCCGAGTAAGGCACAAGTGAAAACTGACAGTGATAAAAACTGATAAAGAAACATTATTAGAGAGAGAGAGAGAGAGAGAGAGAGAGAGAGAGAGAGAGAGAGAGAGAGTACAATAAGATTACAGCATTCAAGGAGATAGAAGATGATGATTGGCGTTGCATTTACATCTTTGAATCTCGTAGTTGCCAAGAAAGCAAGAAGAAGGTTCAACAATCGATAGGTAACAGAGACAAAAATCTATTAGAAAAGATCTTGCGGATAAATCTGACAATTTCAACAGCAAATGCATGAAAATTTGTTGCTAATCACGTAATGCATTTAAATTCGTAAAAATTCAGGTACCAAAAAGAAAATATGACACACCTTTCCGAACAGAAAACCTAATAGTAGATTCATATTAATCGTTCTACATGGGCTCAATGAAAACGTTACACAGAGAACGGGCAGTGAGATATATATCCATGAGGTGGGCGTCAGACATGATACTGGAAGGACAAAATAACTTCTACTTGTATATTAAAACAGAGCAGTTTCCTTCTGGAGACGCGACAACTGAAAATCTATTTATTTCCAAAATTATCAGCATATTAAAGCCTTTTATCGACATAAGATATCAACTAGACTTTACTGAAACTATCATACTTTGTATTAGAACATAAGTAACTACGAGCGTATGACTACAGGTTTTTATTTGTTTCGATCGGTAAAATATTTCACAGGAAGCAGATTATTTGGAAATCGCAGAAGTTTTAAATAGTTTTTCAAGGCATTTTCTCGTTGAATACCATATTTTCATGTTTATGAAAACGACTAATTGTCTTAATTATCTATCTGTTATGCTCAGAATCCCGGAGAAATAAACGGTTGTTTTGGTTTGGTTTATTTTGTTTAACGCAGGGGTGGGAAAACTACGGCCCGCGGGCTACATGCAGCCCGCTAAAAGAATTCACGCGGCCCGCCAAATATTAGTAAATTTGAAAGAGAAAGTTACGAAGCAACGTCAAATAATTGTTACAAGCAATTTGACACCTAATTTTAACAAACTGATAAATGACTGCAGTAAGATACATTATTCTCATTGAGTCGTTGAGATTCTTCTGTTCCTCAGTTACTTTGTTTTTTAAATAAATCTGTTTTATGTGAAGTTACTACTTCAAAATATCATTAACTTTTTTCCCTTTAAACTGAATTACTGTATTTGACGGCATATAAGGGGCACTTTTTTTAAAAAAAAATAAAAATATCTTTTAAAATTCTCCTGCTTCTTATATTCCATATGTAGGTTTAAAATTCGCGATAGTCGTCCGAAATAAGCTACCTGGCAACTTCTATTAGTTTAGACTTTAGAGTAACTTTTATATACCTATTGTCATTATTTAAAGGGCTATTATGCAGATTAAAAGTGTTATCATTAATAATATTCATTATATTAATTTCATCACGTTCAATATTACTACTTTGTGTTAATATACTCTGCGGCCGAATAAAATTGTGAATTTTGAATGTGGCCCTTGCACAGAAAAGTTTGCCCACCCCTGGTTTAAGGGCATATCAACCTCACTGACATTTTTAGGATAGATTCGTATGAATAAATATGTATTCTTTGGTTTAGATTGGTTTGGTTTATTTTGTTTTACGGCATATCAACCTCAATGGATTATTTAATACCGATAACATTTTTAGGGTAGATTCGTAAAATAGAATACGTATTCTTTGGTTTAGATTGGTGTGGTTTATTTTTTTTATGGCATATCAACCTCAATTGATTATTTAATGCCAGCAACATTTTTTGGATAGATTCGTATGAATAGAATATGTTTTCTTTGGTTTAGATTAGTTTGGTCTATTTTGTTTTACGGCATATCAACGTCAATGTGTTTATTTTGCCGACAAAATATTTAGGATAGATTCGTATGAATAGATATATGGTTTAGGTCGGTTTTGTTTATTTTGTTTAATGTCATATCAACCTCAATCGGTTACTTACTGCTGACAAAACTTTTAGGATAGATTTGTATGCATTGAATATGACTTCTTT